TCCTGGATCATTTAACATTCTGCCGAAAGCATCCTTGATTGTAGCAACTCGAGGTTTGAATTTGCTCTTCAGTTCCTTGAGCTTAAGAAATGCTGAACGAGTTCGGCCCTTTTGATTTTCTGACTCTAGCTCCTCGCATCCTTGCCTCTATAGAGCACTCTGGTTGCACTTCCTCCAAGACAAATTTGTTGTTCTTTTGTCAGTCCATGGGCTATTCAGTACTCTTCTCCGCTACACAATTCAAAGTCATCAGTTCTTTTGTCTTCCTTATTCATTGCCCAATTTTCAGATGCACAAGAAGCAATTTAAAAAACTGACTCGGTTCAGGAGCTCCTTAGTCTTTAAACTGACATCCTCGCTCTTTAGGAAGACTTTGAAGAGGCCCTTGACAGCAGATTTTACCACTGCAACACGTCTTGATTTCTTTTTTTTTTTTTTGGGGGGGGGTGCACAATGCACACTAGATTTTTTTTTAAAGGTGATTTTATTATAAGTTTATAAAGAACTTTCAGGTAATAGGATAGACTCAAGGTCATATTTTGGTTCCCATGGATTTGATTTAATTTTCCTTAGCTTCAGCTTGAACTTGCCTATGAGTAGTTGGTGCTCTGTTCCACAATCAGCACCTAGCCTAGTTTTCAGAGCTGATAATGAGCTTCTCGCGTGATTCTTTCTACCAATGTAATCAGTCAGATTCCTATGTATACTATCAGGTGAAATCCATGTGTAAAACCTGCACTTATGTTTCTTATAAAATGTATTTGAAATTAATAAATCGTTGATTGTGCAAAATTCAATCATTCTATCTCCAGCTTCTTTTCTGTCACCAAGTCCGTGTTTTCCAACTACTGAACCTTCTTCTTTGTTCCCAACTTTTGCATTCCAGTCACCCGTTATTATTAATGCATCTTGATTGCACGTTCAATTGATTTCTGACTGCAAATGTTGGTGGAAATCTTGTATCTCCTCTTCCTTGGCTCTGGCTGTTGGTGAATATATCTGAATGATAGTGATATTCACTGGGCTTCCTTGTATGCGTATGGATATTATCCTGTTACTCACAATGTTGTATTTCAAGACACATCTAGAAATTACTTTTTTAACGATGAAAGCAAACCTATTTTTCTTCACCTTTTCATCTCCAACATAATAGGTCATATGATCGTCTGACTCAAAATGCCCCATGCCAGTCCATCTCATCTCTCCAATGCCTAGTATATCAATACTTATGCATTCCATTTCTTCCTTAACAATATCTAATTTTCCTACATTCAATCAACACTCAGCACCAGCAGCCAAGATATTAAAAATCCTATTGTGATGGCAAAGTCCGCTGTTAAGAGACCTCTTCAAAGTACTGAAGAGCAAGGGGAGCTCTGGTGGCCTAGTGGCAAGAAGCTGCACTGCAATCCCAGAGACACATGGTTTGAATCCACCAGATGCTCTGCCGGAAAAGGAGGGACAATCTCCTCCTGTACCAGTCAGATCTGATCTGACGGTACACAGACACATATACACAAAATAATAATAAAAGAAAAAAAATTTTTTTAAAAAAGTACTGAAGAGCAATTACTTCACTCTGGAGACTAAGGTGCACCAGATACAGGTCTTTACAGTCATTTGCTATGCATAAGAGAGCTGGACAATGACTAGTGATGATAGGAGAATTGATGCCTTTGAACTGTGGTGTTGGAAAAGAGTAATACCATGGACTGCTAAGAAAACAAACAGGTTTGCCCTGTTGTTGTTGTTAAGTGCCGTCAAGTCGTAGGTGACTCATAGCCACCCTACAAAGGAGAGCCTCAACGCTTGGGTGCCTTTCATCCTCTCTCCAGGTTCATAGGGTTTCCGGAAGCAAGCTATCACGGAAGTGGATGCCACTCCTCCTTCCAAGCTTGTTTTAATTGGGGAACTCCACCCAACTCTCTGTCTGCATTGGGTAACTAACCATTAATGCATTTGACACATCAGTGTCACAGTGTTCAGCCTCACAGCAACCACAAGTTACCACTGTATGGCAACTTGTACACCAGGGCTATACGTCCTAGAGGAATGTCTGAACAAAACCAATGAAAGACAGGCCTGAGGGCCGCAGGCCCGAGGGCCCTACAGTGTCTTCCCAGCCCACCACGCCCAAATGCTGAGGTTTGTCCTAGAGACAAGTAAATCAGGCTGCTCCTTGGAGGTAGAATTCTGAAGCTTCATCTGACATACTTCGGACATGGCTGCAAGGAAGGACCAGTCCTTGGAGAGGAACATAACAACAACAAGATAAAGAACTTGGATTTCCGTTCATTCATTATTGCACATTTACCTCCTGGTCCCCTCACCCCCCAGATCACTTTTTTCTTTGGAAAAAAAGTTCTTTCAAAGTTATACAGTTCCCCACCACCACCACTTTACTATGCAGTTCCTACTCTTGTCTTACCAATAACACCTAAGCATATATTCCTTTTATACAGTTCTCTCCCTCATCTGTTTCAATACCATGTACATTATTTATCCCCTCTTTTCTTAGCCCCTCCCCTAACCTCCCTGTCAGTACTGTTTTATAACAGTGGCATCATAATAGTATTTGTCTTTTTGGACTGAGATATTTCACTCAGCATAATGTCCTTCATGGTCACCCATTTTGTATAATATTTTGTGAGTTCTTTGTTTTTCAGTGCTGCATAATATTCCATTTGTGAATATACCACAGCTTTTCTATCCATTCGTTTGTTGATGGGCACTTGGGTTGTTTCCAATTCTTTGCTACCGTGAACAAGGCCACAATAAACATTGGTGTGAATATATCTGCTTGGGTAACAGTTCTGGATTCTTTAGGGTATAGTCCCAGTAGTGGAATTGCTGGGTCAAATGGTATTTCTATTTTGACCATAG